ATCCAATTTCGGTGTGAATATGTTAATTTATGGACCGATTTTTTGTCGGTCTGTATATTTTATTTTTTCATACGAAGGTTTTTTCGATTCAACTATACGAACCAATATCGATCTAAATATATTTTTTTAGACTGATTTTTGAGTTATACGGACCAAATTTTTTATCTGAATATGGCTTTCTTGCAGTAGTGGATGCAAGAATGCATCTATGAATGGATGTAAATTTTATAAAAATATTATATTCCAAAATTTGAAATTCATATTAATCTCATCTAATATCTTTCAATATAGAGATTACATATTAATGGAGATGTATTTTGGCAAAAAGCATCCTTATTATAGAGATGAAATCAAGGATGAAAAATTGAAATTATGTAAAGTGTTGCTATCACATAATGAAGGCACAATAGTGCCTTTGTGATAAGTAAAATGTGACATGCATGTACTCCTATCATGCAAAATGTATAATAGTGGAATAAAACTTAATAAATTGTGTCATTTTTCAATGTCCAAAAGATGTATCATGACGAAATATCTTTAAAAAAAAAAAACCTTTTCCCAGTTTCACTTAGCTTGAAGCTAATGTGATGTTTCATGTTACAAGCTTGATTTAAAAATCTAAAGAGGTTGTACATTGTTTACTATTGAAAGCTCTTGAAAATCTTGAATTTTGCAGCTTAGAGAAGCAAAATTTTTAAATATGTAATTAGTTGTATCCTGATAGATTATATTGGAATTTACTAAACTTTAAGGGTACAAGTTTATAATTGTTATCATATTAAAACCATGAATGAGAATAGTACAAAATGCCTCTCATGCCACATCTTTTATGTGGTCAAAAGGCATATATTTAAAAAGCTTTCTCTTTTGAATTACATACATAAATTTTAAAAGATCAAACATTGGGACTAACTAGAAAGTTGATCCTAGAATGATTTGAGCCTAAATAACTTTGCCATCAAGTGATTTTTCATGTGTTGCATCCCCTGATAACATAATTACCAAGCCTTTTACAAATACAATTGAAATATAATCTCCTTCATTGCCATATTGGATTTAAGAAGATATATAAGCTTATACTCAATTATTTAAAATATATTTTGATATATTATAGCATTAATATATGCTTGAATATGATTGTAATATCCCAAAATTTTCTAAGATCTCATAATTTAAATTATGGACTTATATGGTACAAATTATTTTTGTTGATTTAATATCTAAAATTCACAAAGTTAAGGAGGTTAAAAGTAAAAATTTGAGGATAAAAATGACTAAGTTGATTTCCTATTTCTCTCCTTGCCTTTTTATCGTGGTTTCCTCTCAACCTTCAGCAAAAATTTTGCTCAAAAAGCCCTAACCCATGCCATTTTCATCCCGCTAGAATAAGATGAGATTTAGCATTTTTCTTCCTTCTCCTAGTAAGGATTAGACATTTATGAGTTTATGATTCTTAAAATTATGATAAAAACCCAAATCTTGCTATGGTATCCTTCCATTTTCTGGTCCATGTTGGGTGTGAGGAGAGGCAACCATTTTTCCAGCACTTCCGGTAAGAAATTTGACATATTGCTCACCTTTTCATCTTTAATTTGAAGTTGGTCATCTTTAATCACTTAAGGTTTTCAATTTTGGGAGTGTATATGTAGTTTCCCCCTTGATTTACCCATAATCTAGCATCATTAGCACTAATCCCTCTTTTTGCTGTAAATTCGGATTGCATGACCTTGTAGTGGTATTTTTCTTATAACTTTTTTTGTAATTATCGGATTAAGTCGATTCTTAATTCTATAGAAAGTTAAGATATAACCCTACAATTTTATGTTGGACATTTAACCCAATTCAGCTATTTTCAAGGTGAAAACTCTACTGCAATTTCGGACCCTGCAGGCAGACTACACTGGCAGCCCGACCTTCTGTTAGTATTTTGGTCATAACTCTCTCTGTAAATGTCGGATTAAGGTAATTATTGAGGCTGTAGAACGTTAAGACATAGGGTTACAATTTATCTGTTGAGCACTCAACCCAGATCAGTCAATTTCTAGGCGTAAATTCTGTTGGAAGTTCTAGCATGAAATTTGACCAGAACTTGACAGAAATTTGCTCTCTTTTCTAATCTATTCCCACTTTATCTGCTGCTACATTGCATCATAGTTTTAATAAAATTTTAGCTGCTATTTTTCTACTCTAAAACCCTTTTTTATTGCTTTACTTTAGCTGCCCTTTTTGCTACTTAAATGCTGTTCATTTTTGCTCAGTTCTAGCTTGCGTTCTACCTTGTTTTGTTGCTGTCTTTTTGCCCAAAAATCCCTGCTGTTCAAGGCTTGTTCCAAGCATTTTGGGACTGCTTTAAATGGCAGAAACCCCCACCCTATTGCCCAAAGTTTCTATTGTGTCTAAAACGGTTTTGAACTCAGTTTCTCACACTTTTTCTAGTTTGTTTTGTTTAGCAAATCTACTTGGTAAATCTGTCATATGTAGGGTCTTTTTGGAGCTATTTTAAAAGGATAGAGGTGATCAGGATGCATAGGGAGAAGTTGTTTCTTTGGTTAAGAAACTTGATATTGGAATTAGAAATTAGTTTAGTTAAATGGGGTATTTTGTAATCTTGTTTGTTCTTTGATGTGGTTTAGGTTCTAAATCACCTCAAGCACCTTGACTTATTGAATTCTTTGCTTGTCATATACCCACAAGGTGAGGTAAGTAAAATTTTGGTAATGCCCCTGAATTTTAAGGTAAAGGTTTTTTTTTTTTTAAAGTATATTTTAAACTATTTTGAAATGGTGGCGAAACTAAACTTGTTTTACTCAAACATAAGCATGATTGGCTAAATAAAGTTGTTATCATTTATTGATTTGAGCATACCTACTTGGAGTTTACTGAATTATTCTGATAACCTGAAAGTTGATTTGTAAGTTATGGATTTTCCTGTAACTCCTGCATGTTTTAGTCTCTAATATGGTCATGAATTCCATTCTCCTAACAATGGGAGTTAAATGATGGCACATGTCAACATGTATTTCTGTAAAGCCGGTTCATCCAGCCAGTGAGAGAGTACATTGGTATTTCTATTGTCCAGCCAATTGGGAAAGTACACTGACCATGACTAATTAAGGGGACCACTAAATAAAATTTCAATATGCATAAATTATTTATAACTGAGATTTTCTTCCCATTTACATTTTAAATGTTTCTCGGCATGCTTTAAAAATTTCAATAAGGGTTATCCATATCTTTACTTATTAAGTTATCTCACATAGTTTTTTCTTATCCACCATTTCAGGTAGTGTGACCCGAGACGTGGGAAACCAAGGGGAGTGACGAGCTAAAAGGTTAGCCATTGTATTTTGGACATAGATTTTGAGTTGTAGATTATTCTTTGTAAGCTAGATTTTATTTTGAAATATTGATCTAAGTTTATGTGGACTATTAGTAATGAATTTAGCAAATTCGAAGTCTTGTGCATTTGTGGGATCCTCTCACAATTGCATGGCGTTTGTTTCACTTCTGGTTTTAAGGCATGACAATGATGGTGACAAAATAGTCCCTTAAGCAATATGAAATATTGCATTAAGAGCATATCTATTCTGATAATCCCAAAGAAGGTTGAGAGTTTATATGGATTGATTGTGGGTCTTTTTACAACAAAATTTGTTGATTGTCAATCCAAAAGAATCATGTTCCTAACATCAAGGGGAGAGAAATAAATATTAGGGAGGCAAGAGATAATTTGATATGCATCTTTTAAGATCATCAAATAATTTGATATGCATCGAAATTTTAAAATTCTATACTATCAATTAATGGATGCATCTATTGACGAAATAAAAGTAATAACTCATATATCCAAGCTTCAAATACTCTTGTTTGTATTGATATTGCTATTTTAAGAAGTTGCTAAAATATTAGCAATTGAGCATACGCTAGAAACGTGTTAAAACAAATGGTTCTAAATATAAAAATTCAAAAATGAAAGGAAAGTATAAGCAGAATGTTAATATTTCTAAAATCATAAGACTCTTAAAGAGTTCTTAAGGAAATAACCCTAAAAAAGGGTTTAGGTACTTAAAAACAATGAAAATGTTGAATTATATACAATGATGAGATTTCCATAAATTATGGTTTTCTTAAAAGAAGATGGAACCGAAATAAAATTATTATTGATGAGAAATTGTTGCATATGCAATAGTGATGGATATAGTCAATGAAAATGAGGATCTTGAATCAAATTCATTAAAAATTGTCAATGAATAAATGATTGGCCAATATGAAAAGAGGTGATCAAAGTAGAATTCATACTATGGTAATTACATGATGTTTTGGATTAGTATTCTAAATATATAATGAAATAGTATTTATTAAATTTATTCAAATGAGAAATCAACAAATTCTCTTTACAAAATTATTGTTTATAAAATTATTGGTTTTTAGAACTTTGAGCAACTAAGATACTGGATTGGCATGAGTTGCTTGATTATGAATATTCATTGAATTCAAGGGGAGTATCATACACACTGTACTCTTTTTTTCCTTCACCAAGGTTTTTTTTTTTTTCCCCATTGGGTTTTTTTCTAATAATGTTTTTAATGAGGTAGTTTAACAAGCATATAATAAAAAGGTGAACATCTAAAAGGGAGTGTTATGAATTAATTTATGAATTAATTTTTTGTGGATGTTTCATCTTCTTCGTTTTCTCACCTCCCCCTTTTCCTTGGCATTTACACACCAAATAATGGTGTAACTTTCCCTTCCTCTATGCAATTATAACAGTGATTAACACTCCATAATGTCATGCATTTAGATAGTGATAATGAGATTCCTTGTAACCCCTTCATTAAGAAGAGATCAATCCTTGTAATATGTTATTTTGTGAGTGTTTATTCTTTATAACTCCTATCACTTATTTGCCTCTGTATATAGGGCTTATACTTTTGTAAATGTATGAAGAACAAAGGAAGAAAGGAATAAAAATATAATATATCTTTGCATTGCTTCACTTTATCTCTCTAATTTTTCTTCTTTTTCTAATTGATTTTTTCTCTATTTTACAACAAATAAAATGATTTGTTTGCTTGTCAATTTAATCCCCTATTTTTAAAAGTATGCGACCATGTCTTCTATGAAGATTGCGGAGTGCATTTATATTTCTCTCATTTCTAAGTGTACTTCTAAACTTTGATTTCTACATAAATCATTTTTGGTGACTCGTTTTAACTTATAATAAAACTTATAATATGAACAATTGTCGATTTTGATTTTCAATAATAAAAACTTATTTATTCATTTCTTTCAAAATTTTAAGTGGGGTATCAACAAATTGGCAACTCTACTGGGAATTATACCCAAAATCTCTGGTTATCACATTTTGGGTTTGCAAGAATTGAGCTAATACTTTAATTTTAGAAGATTTTTTGACAAAAATTTAAAGAGTATTATGAGTCAATTTGGTTTCTGGATGCTTCACTTTCCTAGTCTTCCACCTCCCCACTTTCCATAACATTTACATGCCAAAAGCCAAGTAATATTGGTGTAACTCTCACTACATTCATGAAATTAGAAGGATGATAAAGGCTTATCTTATAACCCTCCATTAGTAGGTAATTAATCCTTTTAACCTTCTATCTAATGGGTGTTTAAACCTTATAACCCCTACCGCACATAGCCTTTGTATATATGGTCTATACTCTTGTAAATGGATGATGAAGAAAAGAATAGAAATATCAAATATCTTTGCATCATCGCACTATATCTCTGTAATTATTTCTTCTTCTTTCTCTAATTGTTTCTTTCTTTATTTTACAACAAAGAGTAGAATCAATTAGGACAACTAATTTATAGAGAAACGGTATATAGTTTAAAAAAAATTTAAACATCTTTTATTTGCATTAAAGTGAGACGCATTTACTAACTCTTTAGTGTGAATAATTTTCATTTACTTGTCACATTTTTAGTTAACACAATTCACAATTATAAAGAAAAATACAAAATTCATAATGAACACAATTATTGGAAAGAGAACTTCTACTGTTTTATTTAAAAATTTTCATATTTTACAATATGGATTGCCTCAAATTACAAAATAAAAATTATTGGATAAAGGGACAACACTTAATATTAAAAGATCCACCTCCTCTAATGGTTTAAGTTACATAATAAATTTTTTGGTTATTTAAAATAATAATTGATAACTAAATTAAGACAACTATTAAGATAAGAAAAAAATTATGACAACTATTTTCAAAAAGTGTGAGAAGTACAATGAATCAAATGGAGTATTGTTCATCATTCTTGGCCAAAATTAGAAAGGTTAAAATGACAATGGAAAAATAAAAGAATGATTTGTCTAATAGCAGAGTAAAAAAAATATTATTTTATCTGGATTGTTCTATTTTGTACAGTATAAATCACCAAATGAGAGATGACCCATGAATTTGAATATAAGGGTGGGTCTTTTATGCGAGGACCAATATTTTCTATCTAAATTGCAGAACACTAATGTTTAACATAAACAAAAGAAGCTTTGTACAATTTTAAGTTCTCAAAGAATTAGAACTTGTATAACGAAGACAATGAAACAGCTTACTTTTTAGTGCTATGTTATGATAATTAATATTTTTTTTTATAAAATCATAAATTTATATATTTAACTTTTAAATAAAATATATTACAAAACTCCTCCCTAATTCATAGAGTTTCGTTAAAAATTATATTAATATTATTTAATTTAATTTACATTTTATATATTTTAATAAAAAAATTTGAACTTAAAATTATATATATATTTATAAAAGTAGCTTTTGATGCAATAGCTTAAATGTCATTGGATAAAAAAATTCTTGCAATTGTTTTGCCCCTGAAAAAAAGCGAGCGAGTTTGTATTTTGGCAAAGAGACAAGCTCACTTACGGAACACGCCTAAGTGAGAATTGAGCTCAATCTATTCCTCTTGGGAAAAAAAAAAAAGATTAAAGAGAACTCCATCGTGTACGCTATTAGAAGCCAAAACTAGAAAATTTTAGAAAATTTTTCTGTGAGAAACAGTTTGACTGGATGAATACAAAGCAAAGTCGACTTATATAAATACAAATACTATACATCTATCTTACAAGTGAATTCTCCCACCTTCTAAAAGATCTTACATTACTGCCTTCAGAAACTGCCATTCCGATGCCAGTCCTTTCCCCTTGGTTGAAACCAACATAATACAATCTCCATTCATTTAGATTACCCTCCATAGGAACAAGACATGGGGAAGCTACTGCCTGATTATCCCATCCATCATCCTCTGAAGGTTTAAGAACCGGTTGTTCTTGTAACTTCTTCCAATTCTTCAATCCATCTGGAGATTCTGCCAATCCAATACTCCTCTTCCCATCAGCAGAAACTCCCTCATATGCCATCAAATAGTTCCCTTCTTTCCGGTTTCTTATGACACATGCATTCTTGACACCACATTCATCGAAAGTACCAATTGATCCGCCCCCCATGATCTTTCCTAGCTTCACCCATCTAATCCCATCTCTTGATCTTGCCATTCCAACAGCAAAATGACCATTTTTGACATCAAATGAATGATAATACATCCTGAGATCATCACTATCGTGTACCACAACATGTGGTGCGGCAATAAATGATGAATCCCATTCCTTACCTGTTCCTACATCCAGTATTGCCCCACTATGATGATCCCCTTCAATTCTGGCCCAGTGCCGACCATCCTGGCTGCAAGCTAGGCCTGGAAGAGACTTGAAAATTTTGCCCTTGACATAATTTCCATCTTTCCTATCTTCAGAGCAAAATCTTTCAGGATTTTCTAAGGAAAATTTGGGGAGCTCTGAAATTTCAACTTCTTCAGATGTAAATCCTGTGTAATAAAGCCAGTAAACAGAACTGTACATTGGACTGGACATGATCACCATCTCTGAAGGCCTAATGCTCAGCGTGTCAAAGCCCCACCAATTCGTGCTGCAGGTCATTACCATCCCAATATCTCCGCATGATCTAACATTTTCTCCTCCTCTTATCCAGTGGATACCGTTGTTCGAAGCTGCCAAGCCAATGGAATCAGATTCCTTCCCGTTACTCCTTACATGATACCACATGTACCATCTTTCTTCATTATCACCGATGTATCTTTTTACAACAGGAGAACCGATTTCCATTCCGTCCCAAGACTCTTTAGGACCCAGATCGAACACCAAACCTCTAGAACATGTTGACAAAAGTTCTTGATTTCCCGGGGAAGATGCTAGATGTCTGGCTGTTGAATTGGAATCCACTTCAATGGCGGTGTTTTTATTTATTGCACTATTGCTATCAATCCCTGGTTTCGTGGAGCACCGAGTAACAAAGACGGTACTTCTAATTCTCGGAAATGGACCTCCATGGCCACTTGAGACCCTTCTGCAGATTGATCTGCAGGCTGGATGAAGAGCTAGTACTTCAAGTCTCGCTGAAGAGCATGCTGGTTGGATTAGATTTGTGGTGTTAATCATTCTTGCTGTTGCAAAAGATGCAAGAACGTTGGTAGAACTTATCCCTGTTGCTGCTGCTACATCCATTACAGGAGATGCAGGGTAGTAGTGCCTATGAGAAAGATTTTGGAATCAAATTGAGGCAGAATAAGACTCCAAATAAAATGGTTTAAATGAGAAATCGTTTTCTAGAGGCTGTGAAGCTCCCATTCTCACGTCTTTGTATCTATATATATATATATATATATATATATAAACCTTAATTAACCCTTATTATCCCTATTCAAAGTTGTCTGCTGTACCAGAAGAGAACGACTGAAATTAAGGTACTTAATAGCTTTTTATTTTAGTTACCTATCTACTTTTCTCCCACGCTAAGAAGATACCTTTGGGTCGCTTCTACCTTTCAAACTGCACAGGCGGCCTCTCATTCTAGGAGGCTTGACTCGATGGAACAGCATCTTTTTGCTCTTTTCTTCCCTTTTTTTTTTTTTTTTAATGGAAGAACAGCCTATTGATAATGTTCTTCGTTTCCAATGTGAGCTATATAATTTTGGCAGGTTTAATACCACTCAATTCATTTCTTTGACACATTTTTTGGGTGCTTGCCTATTCTTAAACAGGAAAAGATAGTGCACATCCATGTGTTTTTTATTTAAACACGTAATCAAATTTCTTGACACATACATGTGAGAAATTTTGTTGTTTTGTTTATACACAATATTCAAATTAAAATAAATTGATAATAATTGAAGTAGTTTTTTTTTTTTTTTTAACAAGGAGAATTTTTTGAGAAAGAAAAAAAATATTATAACGGTCATTATAAGTCAAAATATTTATTACGCATTGCATTCACTAGGCTGCTAGTGCATAATTGAAGTAGTTCAATAATACTTAAATCCATATATATTTATGAGATTTTTCACTTAAACATGTTCTCTTATGATCAGGTGCAATAAGCTTGTCACGTAACCTCGCTTGGGTTGAACAAAAACTGGGGTTACTACCCTTGCTTTGTACACAAACAACTTAAACTCTAATACCTCATAAACATCTAAACTAAAACTAATTAATTAGTAAATTGTAGAGAAATAGACTTAGTATATTTCAAGTAATTAAGATGTGCCGCTTAAACACGCTGCGTCATTCTCACTTAACATGTTAATAAAAAATGACTGGTGATTTTGGGAAGGAGTGATGATACTTTTCATCTGCTAAAATATCCTTTAAAGTAGTGACCATTTGAACGAATGTTAAACTTCAGAGAGCTATTGACTTTGCGCTGAGCAAAACCCCCTAACTTAACTTTCATGTTTTCAAACCTTGGACCTTTTGGTAGAGCTTAAATTTCGAGCTAATAACTGCTCCCATATCAATAATTTCTCTGTATTTCGCGTCAACTTCCTTCTGAATCTATTTTATCTCTCTAATCGTTTGAGGAAAATATCTTTTTTACAGGATTCTAGTAAAATATTTTAAAACTTCTAATGACTTTATTTTTTTTTTTCTTTTGACCAACGTACTTTTATTTTTATTTTTTATTTTTTTTTTTATGAATATGTTTTGGTATCAACCTAATCTCTGTATTATAATTAACGACCTCCAAGTATGATTTATCAACGGAATTTTTAAATTTCATTTGAAGTTTGTTCATAAAATAATCCACAATAACTTAGATGAATGAATACATTAATAAATAATTTTTTATTTAATACTAAGATTGAGAATTTAAACTTTTATAATATTAAGTATACTAACTTTTTGGTGTACCAAAACAAAACCATGTTTCAAAAAAAAAAAATTTCACTTATGAGTTACGTATTGAAGACATCTCTGATTATTACTAAAAAAATATTCTAAAGGGTTCAAGTTATTATTTTGAATCATATTATAATTCCATAATGGGGACCTTTTGAAAAGCATGAATTAATTCTATAATGTGGACCTTTTGAAAAGGATGAAATGAAATTGAATTATTCCATATAATACACATGGGCCAAAAACAATACCATCAAATTATTGATTGACAGTTGCTAGATACCAAAATCTTCTATAAGCTTGTGGCTCTTGGAAAGTTTGGTAAAAGGGGGACCTTTGGTTCTAAGACTTCAAAGGAAGGGGGCCCCAAGTTTTTAGATACCAAAATCTTCTCTAAGCTTGTCACGCCCCAGAAC